TTTACTTTAGTTTGTAAACCAAATCCTCGGACGGAGCACACCTTCGCGCTCGCGCTGAAAGCGCCTCTCTTCACGTGATCAGTGAAATCTGACGCGTGTGTGTGTGTGTGTGTGAAATACAGTGCTGAATGAAAAAGTGGAGCAATTTGATAATAATAGAAAAATTATAATGGGCCGCCTAATAATAATATTATTATTATTATTTAATACATTAATAGGAGAATGAGCCTAATATCGTCTTGACTATCGACAAAGACATCTGCTATCGTCGATATCTCTGACTATCGTCGATACACGATACTATCTTCTATCGGCACAACCCTAGCGCAAGGTGAGAATTACAAAAATGCACTAATACGTTAATCGTGAATATATATTCATACATTCATTTTACAATGATTGTCAACAGGAGGTGAAATGCGGCAATTGTACTTGAATGTTGGAGATAGTGGAAGGGTGGCTTTAGATATGCCTTTGTGTCGGAAAAGGAATCCGAGTCCAAGTGAACCCGAAACCTGCCTTACAAGGCTTTTTTTTGTATATGTATATAGTGGTTGAGACACACAGACGAGCGAGGCCGGCTGTATTACTACAGCGCAGATGGCTCCAGATCTGAGTGGGAACTTCCTAAAATCGGTCTCAAATCACAGGTGAGACAACAGATTCAGGTGCTTATCAGCATTAAAATATCTAGTCAGGAAATCCCAGAAATCCCTTTCAATTTGGTTTATTAAAACCTACTAATCCTGGTTTCAGTGCCCTGTGCAGTGCTTAATTGAAAGTGTGTGTCTGTGTGTGCATCTACACATTTTGAGAGTATTTCAGTTTGTTTCCCTGACATACCTCATTACCAGTCCTAATAATCTTGCCTTTTCTTGTTCCACCTATTTTAGTCTAACCACTCAGCTCTGCTACCAGGAGATGCGCACAAAACTCGTAGTCTTGACCGGAGACTGCCTGATTCCATTCCTATCAGAACGAGACACAGCGTATATTTACACGAGTCCAATGACAAGGTACACATGCATATGCATACAAAGAGGCATCATCCTATTGCACACGAGGCAATGACAACATGCATAATGAAACTGCTCAAATTCAATACAAATGGCAAGCTTAATGAAACAAATAATCAAACACAGTTTTAAGATGGTTTTATCTTCATTTAGTGGTTAAACTCTTATTTTTCAGTTTATTATGAAGATTTGTTTCACCCAGTGCTTAAAGGGTTAGTTCACCCAAAAATGAAAATTAGCCCATAAATTACTTACCCTCAAGTCATCCTAGGTGTATATGACTTTCTTCTTTCAGACGAATCCAGTCGGAGTTATATTAAAAATGGTCTTTGATCTTTCAAGCTGTTTCATGGCACTCAGCGGGTGTTGCATGCTTCAGTTCAAAACAAGTTAAATAAAAAGTGCCCATCCATAAAAAAAAGTGTCTCACACGGCTCCGAGGAGTGAACAAAGGCCTTCTGTAGCGAATCGATGCGTTTTTGTAAGAAAAATATCCATATTCAAAACGTAATAATCACTTTAATGTAGCTTGCGCTCACTGTTGTAAAGGGAAGCAGTTCCAGGCGGATGACCTCTGAGGTCAGCTTTGCACATGCACCAGTGAGTCTCGTGAAAACCAACGTTTGTTTACAGGAGCAAAGGAAGCAAAGTTTCCTTACTTTAGCAAAGGAAA